TGCGAAGTGGGGCCTCCTATTTAATTGAAGAGCCTATTGTACTATTTTTGATATAAAGTTTGTGACACTGATATGAAAAGTTATACTACTAGCAAGTGATGCACATGATTTAATTATCCAGGGCATGTACTGTTTCTGAAGTAACCCAGAGGGGTGCTTTTGATATGTAACTTGCATGTAGTACAGTTTTTTTTCGGTTAAGCTCAGAGATAATCATGGTTTCCTCTGTGTTCTTTATAAAGCAGGATAAGACGCTTCAAAAACCCCTCTACTATGAACAGTTGACCGATTTCACAAGAGATCCTTCTTCTCCCTCCTCTAAACATGCTTGTCAGAATCAGTTGTATATGTTGGAGAGGATGCAGTTTGGAAGAAAATATACTTGAGGTTTTTTCCAAGTAAATTTGCGGATAAACTAGGAAAATAAGTTGTTGCTCCAAATTGGTGAGGAAATAGTTCTTTCGGTCTTTAAGGATCTAGGGTAAAAATTTCAACAGCACCTAAGTCTCATTTGATTTCAATTAGACTTAAGTCATGTTTGAAAATGGATCTTAAACTTGTAGGGTACTTTTGAAAGTTTTTACTCTAGCCAAGTTTAAAGTCCCTGATGTCAACTGAACAATGCAGTCCTGAATTAATATGCTTTGATTTCTTGGGGATGGGGGCAAAAACAATGCCTTCACTATTTTTGTTTGTTCTCTGCATACCTTTCTTTCATTGGCATTTGTGTTTGTATAGTGTAATTGTACAAAAACTATAGTGAAATACATAGCTCAAGGAGAACAGTATATTGTGAGCTTTCTATCACTGTCTGCTGGACACAATAACTTCAGTGTCACAAGAGCCTACACATATACAGCTGATGGCGTTTCTGTGGAATCGCAGTGGTATATGGTGTCTACTGAAATCTGCAGGATAAGCAAATGCAAAAATTCCTTTAAACTGCCAGGCCTCCAAAAATGCCATGTTTTGGCCCCATTGATAAATGCCACAAATAGCAGAACAGGCATGTAGGATTCAGTTAAAAAATGTAAGGCTGCATGCCACTCATGTACAGTTGTGCCAGCAACAGATTGTATTTAGCTTTTGAAAGAGAGTTTCCAAAAGCTGAATGCCTAATCTCCCCACCCTTGTTTATATATTGTAAGCAAACTGGTCTGAACCTCTTTGTTTTGTCTTGTGTCTGCTGCTGTCTCCAGGGCAATGAATCCTGTGCCAAAAATCTGGTACCCAGCAAGTAGAACATAGGTCTGCTTTTAATTATCAACTATAAAAGCATATGGAAGTGCCTTGTTTGTACTGCTAGTCACTGATATAGGGAAAAACTGATAAAGCTGTAGTCATTTGCACAGATTGTAGTATTTTGATTCTGTGGAAAGAAACTATTTTAGGAGTGCCTGTCTGTTCAAATGACACACCTTCTCAGATTACTGTACACACAGTATCTGACAGAAATCTTGAAATTAATAACATTTATTTAAATTCTTATTTTCAGTTAACCACTGAAGAAATTATTTCTATACAGGCTAAACTGTTCAGAGATTTGTTTTGTCACCTAGGAAGGGAAACCACTTTAATGACACTGAAGGAGGATCTTCTCCTGCTGTCAATGGACAGAGGACTGACATCTATTTTCCTGGACCTCTAGTCAGCATTGATACTATTGACTATTAGCTACCACTGTCCTGCATAACAGATCTAACAGGAAGCCAGAAAAATACTGAAATGTTTTTAAGTCCTTTGTGGCAGGATGTATCGCAGTTCCTGAGTTAAATGCACCTCTGACCCTCTTGGGGCTGCCTGAAGGGCACCCTACTTAGGTCTCAGACCTCCAGTCATCATCTTTTTCTAAGTGGAATTCTGGCGTCTGCTTCCTCCAGGTCAGGGTCTTAGGCTGCAATTTACTATGATCATGTCAGCAGGTCTGACTTCAGTTCAGCACCTGCAGTTCTTCTTTCCTTAGGGTGAATGACACATTTTCTCTCAAATGATAATCCTATCTGAAAATGATAAATAGCTTATATGCATGCCTAGCTTTCCAGGAGTCACCCATCTTCCTTAAGGAGACCCTAGCAGATCTGAAGTATTTGAAGTCCTCTCACAGGACTTGATGCTGTTGGACACAGTCTCATGCCTGTCAGTTTTCAGCTGGTACCTGTGAAACTCTTCCCATGTCAGGGCTGTTGTTTTTATACAGTTTCAAGTCCTTTCTCTCCGAAGGTCTTCGAACTAAGTTGCACCAATCTGCTAGTTCCAATGTGAAACACAACATTCAAGAGGGCTTGTTACTTGCATTGTTTCTATATTGGGGCAATTTGCATTAGTTACCCTCCATTGAGTTTAGTTCCTTCAGGAAACATTTTTACTTTACCCAACTAGCCAGGAATAAAATCACTAACCAGTCCATAAAGGTATGTATAATATTTATAAAACTAAAGTTGTAGACTTAAAATATTCCATGATCCTACGGCATCTGTCACAGCTCAGTATTGTAGTCTTTGAATAGTCCATATTTCCATAGCATCGCATCTGACAGAGGATGTACCCGAAGAGTAGTAATGGGAAACTGTATCTCAGCCAATAGACTCTTCACTTGTAGAGTCACACAAGGATCGATTCTCTCTCCAGTCCTTTTCAGCATCTACATGGAGCCATTTAGGTGAACTGGTAGGATGATACATACTCAAGTGCCAACAATATGCAGATCACCCACAACTCTACTTATTCTTCAGTATACAAAACAATACCACTGCCACCAAGATGGCTGAATGCTTGGATGAGATCAGCTCATGGATGAAGAATAGATGATTGAAGATGAACCCAAGCAAGACATAGGTTATGCTGGTGTCCAGAGGAAAATATTTGAAGAATTTGTAGCCATGGTGCAACCTCTTTTGATTGAAGGTATATAATCAGTCAGTTAGTCTCTAATTTAGGAGTACTCCTAGATTCCTCACTGACAGTGCCATCCCCAAGTAACACCTTCTACTATCTCCAGTTATCCATGTTGGTGGATGACCTGGCCTCAGTTATACATGTGTGACTGGGTGCCTCAGTGGGCCTCACTAAGAATCCCGCACTCTGGGCAGACTGGAAGAAATAGGGCAGGCAATCCCCCAAAACTGGTGGTTTAATCTATGATAGTCACCGAACCAGTATCAAGAGCGTCTGTAGTACCACAAGGTTAACAAGAAGCCAAACCCATTCCCTTTAGGCATTCCAGCCCTTGGCTCTCATCTAAGCAAGGTCTAATATAGTGATAGGTTACTGAAAACCCTATTCATCATACTTAAAATTTTACCAATCCCAAAGGATCACACATTTGCCCTCAGGTATCTATCTATCTATCTATTTTGCAATTTTACCCAAATATCACACTGTCAGCCAATCCTTAGTAAACTTACTAAAGATTTATTAATAAAACACAAGAAGAGAGTCACTTGAATGGTTAAGGAATATACATACAAGTGACTTTCAGATTTCATAGATTAGGATCATAGCAGCGATGTTATATCTGCTGGCTTGCAAAAATCATGTTGTATCTGCTGGCTTGCTTTGGAGTTATTCCAACAGGTTAGAAGCCAAAGGCAGATTAGATGTAAAGCCTTTCCTTGCATTTTCCCTGGTATTCTAAATAACTGCTTGAAAGATCTCAGTCCCATGTCTTTAACTTTCCCTGTTTAAAGTTCAGAAGACTAGAGATGAAAGGATCATGCCCAAGGTCCAGAATTTATAACTCTTTAGCAGGCTAACAAGCCTCCTCCCAGAAATTGTCACAGCAGGAAGAATAGACAGTGCAGATAATTTGTGAACTCTTGCTTTGAAGTTAATCTTCTATTTCCTATGTATACACAGGTAAACTAGTTACATTTATTTTACATAACAATTAGCCGGTCCTCCATTTTAACAGAGAGAGGTAAGCTGAGGCAATGTAGATGATATTAGTTTCCTGCAGTCTCACATCTTTGATCTTAAGGTTAACTGAACATAGTCACATACATAATGTAAGGCAATTAAGACACAAAGGCTACATACTTGATTTTTGCATGTATTTCCTGGTTCCATATCACAGCACAGATAACATCACTCTTTTTACATTTTACTATTGACCTGTTTTATATAAAGTGTAACATATACTTTGCTTACACTCCCTGTTCTGCCAAGTAGGCATTTAACACACATTTTCAGTTGAAAAATATCTGTTGGGGAAGGGGTTGTTCTGTTTTGTTTTTCAAGCTACTTTGCAGAAGTTTATGCAGTTCACACTAAATAGGTAAATCTTAGAAATAGCTAAAACTTAATGAGTCAGATAACAAGTGTTATATTTTTTTTCATGGTGTCAATTAAAATCATACTGCAAAGTATTCAGTGGTGGCAAATCTAACAGATAAGTAAAATTAAGTTCAGATATAATATGTTCCTTTACATTAGTCATGCATATACAAAACCCATTCCAGTTGGAATAGTTTTGGCAAAATCAATACTTGTAGCTGAGCAAATACGTTCAAATGATTTATTTTATGGTAAACATTGATTCATAACTGATCATATGTATAATTGGATTTTGAATGTAGTACATTCTACAGTAGCAAAATAAACACTGCCTGGTGCTCTCACTGCATGTTCCCAGCCTGAGATTGGGGTGTCACTGTGCTAGGTTCTTTACATACATACATTGAGAGTCTGTGCCTGTGATACAAAATTGGTGGGAGAAAAGAATTGTTTATTATTAAGCATTTATATTCTAGTAGTGCCTGAAGGTCAAAACCAAGAGAGGGAAAATTGCTTTTGTAGTGAGTCAACCTATTCAAGCCCAAATTGATGGTGTTAAACTGTTAGGAAACCTATATTTTTTTCAATATTCAGGTTATACAGGTACAGTATATTTAAAATTTTCCTAGCTAGAATTGTGTAACTATAATGAATGATCCAGAATTCTAATAATTAAATACTTTCATTAAGTTAACCAGCTATTGATTTTTTTTTTCCGCCCCCCCCAGAAAAGAGCTAAAGGCCAGGTGCTATTTGACAAGGTGTGCGAACAGCTCAATTTACTGGAAAAGGACTATTTTGGCCTGTTGCTTCGAGATAACTCAGATCAGAAGGTAAGCACTAAGATTTGTTTTTGTGTTACTAGAATGTTAGATTTTTTTTTTTAGCGTAACTTCAAAAGATGAAACTGCAGCTAGTTCCCCAGAGCACCAGCATTCATTTAATGCATTAATGCTGTAAAGCAAGAAGATAAATTTGAGGAGAAAGCAGGCTTTTGACTTAGTCTTTTAGAACAAATTAGAAGATGATTACTTAGCTGGCCTCTGCTGGATTCATTTGTAACTGTTCTTTCACAATAAAATCTGAAGCGAGACACAAATGATGCCTTCAACCAGCTTGTGTGAGATCTCATGGTGCCTTGACAGTTTTGATATTAATTGTTCAGTATGACTGGAGCAAGAGTTTTTTGACATCCCTTCCTGCAGAAGCAGAGGCTGCTTTGAACCACTGATTTCCAGCAGCAGTAATCTCTGGTTGTTAGGTATTCACTCTAGAACATTTCAATCTTGCCAGTATTCACCTTCAAAGACCTGTTTGAGAGGGTTGGATCCTTTTAATACTTGTTGGCCTCTGAGCGCTAAATACACGAGTCCATAACAGAGGGACTATAAAGTCAGCTTTAAATAAACTCTTCTAAATAACGCTTCCTAGTCCCCCAAAATGCATGTACTTTTAAAGCTTAACAATAGTAAGAACTGCAGGAACGCCAATCCCTTCTTGCAAAGAATGCCACTGAACTCCTGCCACCAGGTAGGATTTGAAAGGATTTTTTTTTTATTCCATGTATTTTCTGATCTCAGTGACGATGACAGGCCCATCCTGATCTTGACATATCAAGTGAAATAAATTTAAATGCTGTCTCTGAATAATTGTGCCCTTTCTAGAGGAGGCTGGCTGACTGGGCATGTGCTGTGAATCTTGTACATACTTTCTTCCTTTGAGACTGAGGTGCATTTATTTCTGTTTATCAGGGCAACACTACCAGTTCCATGTAGTGTTTTTTTTTTTTCAGACTTGCATCCCCAGTGCATGTTCACAAAATACTTGATGGTTGGGACTGTGTAGTTATACAGAGTGGGACTACATAAAATAGGTGCATTCAGATTTTTACCATTTTAAAAGTTATCTGTTCTAGTCATAGTCTCATTACATATATATGGAAATATTTCATATTTGTAATATTTTTCAGAATGGTAAAACCTGTATGTTTCGCTTTGCTGTGTAAAGCTTTAGGTCTTTTGCATGTATCTGGGTTTTAGGGAAAGACCATATGCGTGAAATTCCCCATCTCCTATTACATTCCTCTTTTGCACAACTCTTTTCCTTTGTGTTTCAAAATGGTCATCTCACTTCTTGAATTAATTGATCCAGAAAAAAACAAAACACTGTTACTAGCTGCTTTGAGCCACAGATTTAAAATAAAAGCAGAGGGTTGGAAGCTTTACAATTTTTATGGGCTGGTCTTCTTTTCTATTCCCTCTTTCTGTATTAAGATTCTGAAGATTGGATTGTTTCCTCATCTTGGTGCCAGCTCGTTCTGATCCATTTTTTCCTGCTGTGGCTGTTGCCTCCTCAGATTAAAATGCCACAGATCTCTGACCTCCAGCCCAGTCAGTGCTAAATGCTGAATGATGTGTTTTTTCCCATTCTTGTGCACTCATCACAGCCGCTCGTATATGAGCCAGCTGTTGTGCTAGACTGCAGCTGTGGGGTGTGGAAACTGAATGCCAGGCACTCTTCTGAGTGGAGAATTAGAGCTGCTCCCTAATGCAACATCAGGAGTGCGAATAGAGAGGATCCTATTGATTTTTTTTTTCCATGTCAGTGTTCTGTGCAGCTGGGAGAGATGTATTGTAACTTAAAACTAGACTTCATTAGCATTTATTAAACTTTAAAAAAAAACTGTTATGAAGTAAAATTACACTTTTCTCTGAAATTTTAGAGTTTGTAGAAACATTAAAGTTGTTTGCTAAAAGTTTAGATGGCATGTAGGGTAATGAAATCAACAGGGAGTTCATGAATGCTCCTTTAATACTCTGTTTTGTGCTCTTATGATCTGTATCACAGCTGGAAATGCTGCTTTTCTGGATTTGTTCAAAAACACTTTTTGTATTTTGACATTTTCTGACAATTCATTACTCTGTCTACTTCTCTAACCCTACCATTTACAAATGTAACAGAATGATCTTGTTTTGCCTACTGGATCAAACTTAACATGTATTAATTTAAATCTTCTGCGCTAAAACAGTCTTTTCCTTTTCACAATAAGCCAAAGCAAAATGGTCCATATCAGGATAGACTGTTTAGATAGATTTACAATACTCTAGTCAAAATGAAGGGCACAGAAAAAACCATATTCTTGCATGCATGTGAAATATATAAATTTAGAGAACTATTCCTATGTATTATAGCCAAGGTCCCATATTATGTAGAACATTAGACCAACCATATGCAGCGAGGACCACTGATTTTATCTGGCAGAGCTGCCTTGAAATCAGTGGCAAAGATATACAACATAAAGTTAATTAACAAATTTAGGAAATTGCTGCTCAAACTATGAACTACTTCCAGGTTTAGAAATAATCAGAAAAAGTGAACCTAGTATCTTTTACAAAACAAAAGGCTGCCTTTTTCATTTTAAAACTCTTGTTTTTATGTTCCTGTTTTCCACCAATATAGTTTAAAGTAAATAGTATTCTGTAATGGTAATGCCAAAATATTATGTAAAAGTGGTACATATATGAAATTGTGTTTTGCATAATTTTGACTAAGTTCTAAACCATTATCACTGTATTTGAAAGAAAATTATGACAAATGTGAGCTTGCTTATTTGCAAACTTAATGTGGGAAACCTCTAGAGGGAAAGCTACTGACTTAGCCTTTAAATCATTGTTGTTGATGTAAAATAGCATAAAACTCTTCCTTGCTCATTTGAAGAATTGTGTTAATGTTAGAACTGAAAGCCTAGCTAGACACACAGAAGATGAACTCCTGGCCTCATTTTGAAACCAATGGCAAAACTTCCATTAGCTTCATTAGGACCTGGATTTCACCTGGAAAGTCTTTTCCACTAGATGGCAGTTGGGTGACTTATGAAGAGTAAGTGATGTCCAGGTTTTTTGTTACAAAAAAACAAGAAGATTTAAAACTACTATACAGATTGCGGTAGCCTTGAACAAATTTGTAATAGCCAATGCAGAAGCAGGCTGACTCAGTCCTTCTCCTCCTGTAAGAAATTCTGAATGATTTTCATAATTTTAAGAAATGTTATAGAAAAGGAAATTTATAATCACTTCTACTTATAAAAGTTAAACTATAGTTGCTTATATTATAGAACGCTATTGAAAAATCTTCTTTTCACTCCAAAATGAGGAGATCTTATCAAGAGGAAATTTCTTGGCACTCTGGGATTTAGTTTTGTTTTTCTTAGGTGAAGTGAAACACTGTTAACTAAAAATCCCAAATCAGTAACTGTGTGTGCAAATAAGTTAAGGTATAGAACTAGAGTGGAAAATCTTTTTCATCTTATGTTATGATCACGTTTTCCCTGCAGGTGCTGTGCTATCATTAGTTTTTAAAACAATCTAGGGGCTTTTCTGGGCAAGGGAAATTTACACGAGTATAACCAAAAATAGCTTGGACCAGTTTGGCTCACTCCAGGAAGTTTGTGGGGTAAGTCACACTGGTGCAAGGCATGTCTATGTTAAAGGATTCCACTAGAGTGAAAATATCAATGTGGTTACTTTGGTGCAAAATTGGTGCTCCACACAAGCCCTAAGGAACTGCAACTTAGTGCATTTGGTGTTACTGAGCTAAATTTACCTAAGGCAAGAAAAGACTCTGATACAGACCTTGGGAGCATGTAAGCACAGCCCCCAAAGTGGAATGCTTTGGAAGGGAGAGAATGTAGCTAGGTCAGGCAACAAATGCACTGATCCTTCCCTCAACAGCCTTGGCAGTCTAGCACCTCTGGAATCCCTGGGAGATTTTAAAGCAGACACCTGCGGGGTGGAGGTGAAATTGCCTGTCTTGCCCTTAAAGGTTCAGCCTCTATCTCTTTCCTCACCCCCCTCTTAAAATGCATTAAACCTGATTTACAGAGTATGTATGTAGAATTTAGAAATGAATGTTTTTATACAACGTTCATTACCATGATATTTGAATGCAATGGTTTCAAACAACCTCGACTTGATTTGTGCCAATAAACAAAAGGCTCTATGTTACAAGTTCCTTAAACTGTGCAGGCCTCTTTTACATAACATCTGTGGATAAGATTAGCAATCTGGATAATTCCAGTTACTAATAATTACATTTTATGTCTTTCTCAATTCCCCTCCTCTAGAAATACTTCCGGATGATCAGTCACAGGGTTAATGCCTAGTTACACCAATTTCAAATGGTAGTAGAAGCATTGTGTGCTGCCTAGTAAATTATTGTATTGGGATGCTTTCTGTTTTGAAGGTGGTACATCCTTTATTCGCTAGGCTCCTAATTCTGAAAAACAAACAATTTTCATCTTGGTGCCTAAATATGGATATGGATACTTGTGTTTGAACATTTTGGCCAGTGCTTTTAATGCCATCCTTGGTTCACAATGAACCCTTTGAAGGTTGCGGGGGGGGAGGGACAATATGGAAAAAAGTAAGCTTTGTGAACAGATCTTTTCCAACACTTCCTAGCGTTGCCAGAGCTAGTGTTTGGGTGACGTTGAGAGAAGAAAGAGTATTTTATTGTGTAGAAAATGGGAGAGAAGTATCTTTCATTCAGTAACTTTGTATTGGTTTGCAGGCAGGAGTAAGTAGAAATTACACATAGGGGTCTGCTTTCTGTCAATAAAAGGAATAAATGAAAGGAAATTACTTGGTGATTTGCAAGGTATAATTTCCTTGAAAATACTCATTAGAAGACTATAAAATATCATTTAATTTCCAGAATTATAAGGTCTTGTCTAAGAGAATGAAGTAAAAAGTGTTGCATAATAAGCTCTCTGTGTGTGGGCGGAGGGTGAGGAAAATCAAAGCACAGTTGTTGATGGAAAGTTACAAGTTAACTCAAAAATTCTACAGGGTACTTTCAAAGTAGAATATCAGAAGAATGTACTGTACAAGTAAAAAGAACAGGAGTACTTGTGGCACCTTAGAGACTAACAAATTTATTAGAGCATAAGCTTTCGTGTTGCTCTAATAAATTTGTTAGTCTCTAAGGTGCCACAAGTACTCCTGTTCTTTTTGCGGATACAGACTAACATGGCTGCTACTCTGAATACTGTACTAGTATTTATTTTAATTCATGAAATTATCACACTCGTTCGTCTGAATTATTTCCTTATGTACTGATGTTCTTCCTTTTTTAGAACTGGTTAGATTCTTCAAAGGAAATCAAGAGGCAAATTCGAAGTAAGTACTCCTGTATTGATGTTAAATTCTTGAACTCAATTTTCTAATACAGAAATATATTTTCTCAAAGTTAAACTTTTTAAAAGAAATCTTGGATATAGCAGGAATGGTCATGATGAAGATTTTTAAAACATGATTTCTACTGACTCTACAGTCCCATCTACAGATAGTTGAGGAGCTATGTGAATGCACAGTTGTCTGCAATGGGTAGTGGTGCCCATGGTACAGCAGATTTTTTTTTTATTAGTGTGGATAGGATTATGCAGGTCTGTAAATGTTTTAGGCCTGGATTACAACATCGCTCATTAACTTAATTAGTCAACAGTGTGTTGTGATGACACTGGCAATAAATGTTTTAAACATACGATCCCCTACCATGGTGAAGAATTGTGCACTATCACAGTTAAATCTTTTGCCTGGTTATTGGATGGGTTTGGACAGTTTACCAGAGATCTAATGATATTAGCCTATTTCAAAGCTGTCATGATATTTAACTTGCTAATTGACTTTGTAAATTTTATACAGTTACCAATCAGGTAACTCTGGTATTTGCAGTATTCAGAGTGCTTCCTATCATAATTATAGGAAAATACAAGGGAATCCTAGTTACTTTAGTAATCACATCCTTTACTTAGGCAAAGCTTTTCAGTACTAACGCTAAGTTTAGAGCTCTCTTCTCTAGCTCACCTGGAGTTGCAATTCTGGGTGGTAACTGTCCTGGTAACTTCAGGAAAACTCTTCGATTTAGGGAGTCATGTATGTAGGTTTTCCTGTTTGCATGATCTTATTAACCTGACCTCTGTCATCTTGATTTCCATGCTTAATCTAAAGAAAACACAGAAACAATGATTTAATTATTATAGAAGGATATTGAACTATAGAAAGGTTTTTTTTCAATGTCAGAGCTGTGTTTCTAATTCGTTTTTAGACCTGGTGTTTTATGCATATGTGCCAAATGCACCCTACCCGGTAAACAGAGGAGCAGTCATCCCAGAATATGGAATTCAGAGTGAATTTCTCCCAGTTCCCTCATACAATAAAAAGAAAAGGCAATTAAAAGATCCCTATTATGAAATATCTGGCCTTTTCCAAAATTATTTTAATTAAGTTTCAGTAATTTTTAAACGCATAAATTGTTGAAGGAGTTGAAACAAATTAGTGTTAGTAAAATGGAATAAAAGATGGATGTAGATTTTTATTGTTGTCTATACTAACAATTTTCTATCCAGTTTATTGCTGACTGTGCTGAGATGTCACGCGGTCATAAGTACTCCATAATTACTGTACTTGATACCTCCTACGGTGGTGATCAGGGGTTAATCAGTAAAATGGGTATCTGAACTTTTCCGTGTCTGTTAAATGTTAGTTGTGTTAAAATGTGGCCTTCAGTGACTGCTGGGAGACATTTTATGTAACTCATTAAATGAAATGTCTCTTGCGAGCATCTTGTGTATCAAATGTGGTCATTATGATGCTTGCTTGTTTATATCAGCCTTTGAAAGACTTAATTTTTTAACACCCAGGGAGTCTTTAAAGACTCCCAATGCTTTTAGCCACTGTTTTTGGTAGAGGTTTTTCTTCTTCATGCTAAAGACCACGAATGTATACTTCAGCCTGCTTTGCATCGTGGAGGCAGAACCTGAACCGTTAGTCACTGGCAGCAGGGAAAGGCCCAACTTCCTGAAATTCCCTCTAGGCTTTTTTCTGCCCCCACTTGACCTCCTTGCTGCAGAGCTTTTCTGAGGAAAATTCAGAACTTTCACATTTTTAGACTAGCAATCAGTTTTTAAAAGGTGGGATTCAAATCTGGCTCATATAGATATGAGGCTTTCGGATCAGATGTTCACACACATCCATTACCAGTGATACAATTGGAAACTTTATGAGAAGCTGTGGCTATTCAGAGTGTTCAGAAAAGTCCTCTTACAATCCTGGCTTCTGACAGACTCTACAGAAAGGCAGTCATGCAACAAGATCAAGCAGTCTGGGAAGTACAACAAAAGAAAATGTCTTTGCAGGTAATAGCTAGAACAAATGCAGGGTCAATAACTACCCTCTTTTGCTTTAGTTATCTGCAGTTCTCCCAACCAGCCCTATTTGGAGCTAGAACTCAAACTGGTGCCAGGCTCCCTCAGTTTGATTAAATGAGGTCAGTAGAAATTGTCTAGAGAGAATACCCTGTGGAATTGTGCAAGAATTCCAGGAACAACTTTGTCCCATTCCCAATCTCAGCAACCAGGTGAGAGGCCATGGCATGAATTAAATCATCTATCAAGTGATTTATTTCTATTTCAGGTTGGAGTACACCTCTACTTTGATATAATGCTGTCCTCGGGAGCCAAAAAATCTTACTGCATTATAGGTGAAACCGCGTTATATTGAACTTGCTTTGATCCACCAAAGTGTGCAGCCCCGCCCCCCCGGAGCACTGCTTTACTGCGTTGTATCCGAATTTGTGTTATACCGGGTCGCGCTATATTGAGGTAGAGGTGTATTACAGGCTGTCCCCTATCCTATTTCTTCCTCCGGATAATCTCGGGGACACAGCACGGGGCCTTCTCTGAAATATCTAAATTAGTTCCTAAAAGAAGCTTGCCTTCAAAATATTCCCATTTTACCATCCTCAGACAATGTTTATGTTCTGCAAAAGGCTGGCAGCCTTTTTCTTTTCTCTTCTTCGAGCATTTTTACATAGGCTCCCAGGGGGGTAGCAATAATATTGGCTTTAGGGAAGAAGGCAAATTACTTTTCTCTTCACAGACAATTTTTCTGATCAGAATTCTGTGCAGATAGAAAGCTGAAGCAAACACACAGTGATTTGGTTACAAATTCAGTACAAACAAAAACATGTGGTGTCAGGGAAGTCAGCCATAGGCTTGAACTGAAGATGAATACGATCAGGTACAGGGTCTCATCTCAGAAGAATGTTAACACAAGATGGAAGGAAGGATGGAAGGAAGGAAGGAAGGAAGGAAGGAAGATGGCCACAATGAAAAACATGTGTCACGGAAACAAACATCCAATTCTTATTGGAATCCATTTTGAATTCTGAAATCGTGTGTCGGTACGCTTCAACAATCCAGAGTTCATATGATTCCTACCCAGTAATCTTGAGTATCCCCTCCGCATCTCACCCTATCTCTTCCATTGACAGAGATTTAGCTCTAGTAGTATATTCTCTAATCCCCCAGTGTTTTTATTTTGAAGGGACCTTCCCCATTCAGTTCAGGGAATGGTTACCATAAAGAGAGAGTACAGTGTCCACCAACTGGAACAGATGGCGTCATTAAGGTCTCAGGGCATGGTCCTCCCATTGAAAACAGATGTGTTCTGGTCATGACAGTCAATGTTTCTGATTGTGTTCTTCCCAGTTCTTACGAAAACCCTATCAGCCATACCCCAGAGAGAGATTCTTCTGTCCTGGCCAGAGTAAAATGCCCACCAAGGGGGGAAATAAACACCAAGACTTGCATGTCAGAAATCAGATTAGCAGAGTTGCTCTTACACCCAGAGGTATCTGAATCATCATAAGTAAAATTGGTAGGCTAGTGATCAACCTCTTTGTATCTAAAAATGGTAAATAAAATGTCCTGGAGCCTGTCTGTGTGCCAGGACCAGAATGTGAGGTGGCAATGACATCTTGCAAAATGAGCAAAGCCTTCTCTTCTATAAGTCTTTTCAGCTTGACCATTTTTCCCAAGCCAACACAAAAATAGGAATGAGAGAGTAGCAGTGAAACTGTTTATGCTTTTCTGGCTGAAGAGGTTATGGTTCTGAGGCCTGAATAAATCTAGCATTGGATTTTCAGAGGAGGTCTGCTATTGCAAGACTGGTCCTCCAGCTGGGATTAGATGGTTTCAAATGAACACTTGATTGAAGTGAGTGTTGCTCTGATGGACTCCAAAAGAGAAGTCAACCAATAGAACTTACTCTACAGGCTGGTGCAAAGTCCCACAGTTTAATTACCATATTAAAACTAGCAAAACATATCCTTGACAGAGGTGCTGGAACAATTTGTATAGTGAGGGTGCTGAGAGCCATTGAATCAACCTGTAAATCCTGTATATGATGGAAACTATTTTAAGTCAGGAGATGTGGCAGCACCTGTGATCCTTGAGTTCCCCCAGGAGTGCTTTATGGTGGGTGTATAAGAATGTCCATGCAAAAAGGTCATATCTCTTTAGTATAATATTCTTGGCATGCTCGAAAAGAGGAAGTTTTGTACAAGTCCCCATATTAAATACTTCCTTTGGATAGAACTTCATTCAAACCCCACAAGGTCATAGAGTTGCTCTTTACAGCCATACTTGAATTGGACCTGAGAAGGAGATGTGGTCTTACTTCTTGATACCACAGTTTGGGGACCAGCAGTACAGGAGACCTCTCATCTGGTACCAATGAACCCTCAGTCTGCATCAGACTTGCCTATAGGTAGAGATCAGCTGTGGCCAGCATCAGACCCTCTTGCGCCTCCTTGCCCTGAGCTGTCTAGAGGCAAGACCAAAATGCTTCCTTCAATACCATCATTTCCGGTCTCAACAGTGGTCCTCGGCACTTGGGGGTACCAGCCCCAGCTGGTAGAGCCCTGCAAATCCATGGATATATATCTGCGTCCACGGATACAGTTGTACTTTTTACCACAGTGGTGCCCAAACTTTTTCTGTTGCTGCCCCGCCCTTACCAGGAATGGGAATCTGTCCATGCCCCCACCTCTATTACTGCATAGTTGGCTCAGGAGAGGAGCTTGGGCTGAAAGCAGAGCTAGGGGCTGAATGGTCCTCTGCATTCTCCTATGGGGGTGCGCCCCACAGTTTTGGGAGCACTGGTTTACCAACTTGGATCAGATGCAGATCCAAATTTTTGAATCCATGCAGGGCTGTACCGGTCGGGTGACTCAGGCTGTTCTTCAGAATCGGAGACTTAGTCATGTGTGTCTTGCTCCCAAGATAGGAGGCATCACTCTCCATCATTGAGGGGATTTTGTCCTTGGTATCTGGCAG